AATTGTCGATTAACGTTTTACTATCTAGGCCTACAACAAAATACATTTTTCTTGCATTTCACGTACAGTTATAGTCGGTGAAATTACATACCTAGAACTCGTATACCGATGGAAAGATGAGATTATGAAGTTTCATTAAAAGAATGAACCTTATAACATAAGTATATCGATCTCATCATGAGTAAACTTACTTTTGAATGACTCGCGACTGCCATTTTTCGTTGAAAAATCGTGAAGGACGAGTAATTTCAAAAAATCATAGCAGACGTCTTAATTTTTGTTACAGTACTAGCAAAGACAAGTGATACCACTGCAACAAGGAGGGAGTAAATATTTTTTTCATTTTGTATAAAGTATAATGTCATAGGTACCCGGTAATACATTCCAACAGCTGATCATTTTTATTTGTAAATAGCAAATTTTTACGTGAGGCTAGTGTGGGGAATCGACAAAAATTGTCGATCTCTGAAACACATTTTTTTACCAAGAACTAAGTTAGGCTGGATCTATGTAGAGAAATAAATACTGTACAATTTGCATATTTTAAGTTGTGCACAAAAATTTATCCTACGTTACATAGGCCTATGACAAGTTTTTGCTTTTGAAATAAAATTTAAAAATATTATTAAGTTTATAGGCCTATATTTTTTTTTACTTTTCTCTAACAATCCATCTTTCTAAAATTGGTTTTTAAGTACCTAGGCTACCATTTTTGAAATCCACTGACTATTAGGCCTACTACAAAATGAATAGGTAGGCCTATACGATTCAATAGTTTATCTCTACTTACATTCACCAAAATAAGCGTAGGCCTACCACTCCACAAAGGATATAGGTAGCCTAAGTTATTGGAAAATTGGTCTCGCCACTCATAAATTTGAGATGATGATATCTACACGAATGTGGGATAGGCCTATGATTATCTTTTTGCCGCAGTCGCAGGAGACGATTACGATGTGTACTGGACCGCGGGAGATACAATAATGATTTCTACACGGCCGTGAGGCATAATCAGAATGCCGAGATCGCGCAACACGATGATAAGTTAATGTCCACACGACCACGGGAAAAGATCAGAATTTTGCCACGATCATGGAGGACGATAATTAGGCCTATGTCCACACAACAGCAGAAAATAAATAGGTAAGAATTTTCCCACAATCGTGCCAGACCATTAACTTACAATGTAAACTTGCACAGCGGCGAGGGATTATCAGAAGCTTACCGTAGTCGCATGCATATGCAGCCACCAAATTTTGTCTTCTTCCAATTTTTTGGCACCCCCCAGTGCCCTAGGCATGTGCAAACCGTGCCTATTCGGTAAATCGGCCCTGCGGGGTGGGGGGTTATGTTCTGCAATTTAAACCAGGAAAGCAGCTTAGTCACTGACAACATATTCACCTAGCCTTATTTTAACAAAAAACTTACCATCAGGCCCATATGAATTTTTGCACAAATAACAAGTTACTCCTCCAGCTGCTCCAATTAGAGGTAATATGGTTCCACAATTAGGGCAAAAGCCAGGTTCTCGAACTGATGACTCCATTCCATTTAATGTAAACCCTTATTGTGTAAACTACAAACTAACTGATAGCCTTTAAATGTACCAAAATCACTTTTAAAATTATCAAAATTTAAAAATTGTTGCTTAATAAATTAGAGTACACGAGGAGAGACAAAAAGTAACCACCCACAACATAACCTAACTTAATATACTATCAGGCTAGAAGGCTGCTGAATTTTTATTTCAGGATCAGTGTTGCCTACAGTATTATTTTGAGGCTTCTGATTGGCTGAGGGAACATCATTACCGCGACGATACGGTTGATGCCAACGGCCTCGGTGGTGTAGTGGATAGAGTGCTGGGCCGATGATTCAAAGGACCCGGGTTCGAATCCCACTCGTAGCAGTATATTTTTGCATTGGATTTTTTTTCATTATCAATAAGTTTGGTTGGTTTGGTTAGGTTATGACGGTTTAATTTTATAATTAAAACATTATGAAATTGAATTCGACCCATTTATAGTTTTATTTTATGAACAGAAATATTTTTTCGGTTAAACCTTCATTTGATTTTTCATTATTAGCAAGTCTGGTTAGTTTGGTTAGGTTATGATAGTTTTATTTTATAATAAAAAAATTATAAAATAGGATTTGAGGCATATATAATTTTATTTTATGAACAGAACTATTTTTTTTTCGATTAATAAACCTTCATTAGAGTTTTTCATTGTCAGCACGTTTGGTTGGTTTGGTTAGGTTATGACGGTTTAATTTCATAATAAAAAAATCTAAAACTGAATTTGAGGCATTTATAATTTTATTCTATGAACAAAATAATGTTTCAATTACTAAACCTTCGTTATAGTCAATCAGAAGCCTCTAAATGACACTGTTGGCAAAATTAATCCTGAAAAACAAATTGTGCTAGAAGGCTACTACTAAACAAACAAACAAACAACTTAATCTATGACCACAAAAACATTAGTCACACAACGGAGCGTCTGGCTGTAGGAGCGCCGCGCATGCGCACTAGCAGGAACCAAGGAACATCTGTTTGTAGAAATGCTAAACAAGCTCCGGTTACTTGATGGGAATCGTAGTAGTGGGTAGATGTTTCTGTTACTTTGGAATAACCCGTTGGGCGTTGACAGACTGCATAATAAAAAGACTTCCGGTGGTTTCTTGCTACTCTGGAATATAATCTGTACAACTGCACTTATTTAATATGGAATTCCAACATACAATTTTTAGGGATGGGATTGAGACGGACTATAATTTATGGGTCTGGATAATTATCGAGGTTTTATTGTATATATAAATTTGTATATATACAGTATAATGGTAAAAGTCCAAGAAATACGTCCATAAGATAAGTTTGCATTCCAATGAAGTTGTAAAATAAGGCTATAGATTTCCAGTGTCACTCTTCAGTTGTTGTCAACGATGATTTTTAGTTGGATCCCAAAGCTGCATTTCTACAAAGAGACCTTCCTGCTGCTCATCTCATCTCCGGATTTTTTATTTTGTGTGTTCTAAAAAGCAGACTCGCCAACGCCAATGTACCATGCTACTTCAGAGTTTCAGAAAACCTTGAAATATTAATTATTGACAATGGAACTGGAACACTACGTTGAAGCATAGATAAAATATACTCCCTTAGTAGATTTCTCATCCTAATGGAACAGCTGAAGACAATTTTATTGTTAGTTCTGTACGGTTTATGTAGAGGTCGTGTTTTGTTTACGATTTGTTTCCCGTTAATACAGTCATTTAAAACCTCGTTTCACCAAATAATACGCGATCTAATCATAAACAATAAATTGTCTCCTATTTATTTAACCAAACAGTAAAGCACAAATCAAGAAATTAACCCTAAAATAATAGAAACAAAATTTCGTCGACACTAGTGCCCAGTGTGGCGTACATGAACTAGACATGAAAAACAAGCTTCAAAATTTACAATGGGATGAGAAGTCTACTTGTGTTGGTTAGTCTATGGTTGAAGTTTACATCCCACTTTAGACCAATGCATTGATTAAAGGTATATGTTTGTAATTGATGATTGATAAATTATATACATCCCCTTATATCTTCCTTATGGATCCTCCAAACACTATTTAAGGTTTGTACAGGCAGGCAACGTGCTTGAATTTGTTGCTATATCCTCTATCCATTTAAATATGTTAAACAAATTCAAATACCAATTAGAACAAGTAAGTAATGTTTAAAGTACGGCTTATTGCTACTTGATGAACAACATGTATAATACTTACACTGCAATGAAATAAGTGATACGTAAAAATGTAATCAACATAAATGCACTCAAACCTTAATTTACATAAATCACTCATAACAACTGGTTTGCTAGAGTATGTTTTTTATAGGATAGATCGCACACACAAGCACTTAAATCGACACAATTATTGTAAAAGTTGCCAAATTAATGCAATGTCCTAAAGGAGTGGTTTTATATTGCCTACGGTTGGTAGTTTAATGTAGTTTTAGGTTTTATTGATTTAACTAACTAAACAGGATCACGTTTTTATAGCGTAAATAAATTAGTTTGCGATGGTTTTGAATAACTACAACCTTGGGACTTGGTGACTAGAACATAATCAATGCTAAAAGTATAATGTGCTGTTCACATACTGTAAGAGTTTTATTTAAATTTATATCAGTAAATCAAATAAACTACAAAAAAAATCGTCAGAAAGAACTGTTGGAATTCACAAATAATAATATAGACCGTCCTCTTAATGAAACAACATGTTATAGCCTATAATAGATGAAAAAAATGTAGGAGTAGGCCTGCTCAAAACGATCTGTATTCTTTAATACTTTTTGTCTTGTAGTTTTACAGGCGACGTTACATAAGAGTGCACTGATTCTTTTTTGTTATTTTCGTAAGGGGTCAGCGCTAATACGGTAATAACGGTCTCTAGAATTGTCCACTCTGGCTTAAACAGTTTGACCTTGAGCTCACATACAACGATATATGGTGGCGATAGTGTTTTAGAATTTGCGCTTAAATTATAAATTATGTTAAAAAGGGTGGTATGTGTTTTGATGTTCATAACTTTGGCGACATATACTACAGGGTTTCGCAGTAGAGCGTTAAAAAAACGGTAAGGACTAACTAAAGTATTTAGGTACTCTTATTATGTAACCTTGTTTTTGTAAAGAAAACTAAAACTCAGGAGCAGTGTAGTTAGTATATAGGTTACTAAAATAGGTATCGACAGAACAAAAATTAATCTAAACTGCTTTTAAATTATTGAAAGCTGATAATGCTATCACACAAATATGATAATGCAATTCGATTTCAACAAACACAGGAAATGACATTACGAGTGTACGACATACAAACAGCTGTTTAGTCAACATGACTGCTTTCACTACGCAACTGTCAAAGTCAAAGCAAAGGTATCAGCTGTAGTGTAGATTGTAGAATCATAATGATAATAATTATTATTGCTCTTCTTGTTCTTCTTAAAATTGAGTGGAGGGAGCCAGGGAGGAAGTAAACATAACCTTAAATCCAACTATTTGTGTACCGGTATTAATTGTTAATGTTTTCTGTTTTACTGATTTTATTTTAACATAATGCCTCCTTATGGAACAATGTAGGCGCTAATGTCATTTTTAATTTTTGTACAAATAACATGGTTGGTTAGGTTATATAGGACATGTCGAAAATCGTGAAGTCAACACATAGCCTAAGATATCTTACAAAACATAGCCTACAAGCTGTCTGTCGAATTTACACTGTCCTGTAAGGTATGATTTTTTAATAATATTTTATCTGACCAAAACTCATATTACTGTATACATTACTACAGTACAAAAACTTAAGACATATAAATCATAAAAAGCTAAAGGCTAAGTTATTTACACAGGCTAACATTTGGACTGACTTTCATAGGCCGATCTGTTGTCAAAAACAATCAAATGAAAATATCGATCGATAAATGGATTAGGTATTCGATATATCGTTTGGTTAATTAGGTTAGGTTTTCTCATTCAGTTGTTTTTGACAACAGATATGAAAGTCTAACTTACCCTAACATTTAACCCTCCGTCGGTCGCACCTCACTGTGTCTTTCTGATAGAAGTTGTCAGACCATAACTTACACATTCTTCCATTAGATAGGCCTACAGTGCGATGCGACCATGCCCGTGTAAAATTGAATTGCGACCAGTGCCACTGCATGTAAAATTGAACTCAATGTTTTCTTTGCTGGGTAAAAACAGTTTAATTTATTTCTATATTTAATGGAATTAGGCCTTATTAATTTATGATTATACCTAATGGAGATAGGTAGGCCTACATCACATAAAAACGAGACTGGTCCTGTTTTTTTTGAGATAGGTACGTCACAAAATAAAAACGGGACCGGTTGCACTGTATCTATCAGAGATACAACGGAGCAAAACAAGGCATGTGTGCACGAGACGACGCTCACAGTGATACTAGGTGTGTGTGGGGGGGGGGGAGGGGATGAAACAGCACACTGGCCAAGACCGGTTTTGGGGCCGAGAACTAGAAAAATGCAGGAATTTTTCATGTTGTGGTGTCTAATTGATTAGGTGCGACCGATGGAGGGTTAAATACAAAAAAATCTAAAAGAACTGTTGGAATGCACAAATAATAATAAACCGTCCTCTTAATGAAACAAAATGTTGTAGCCTATAATAGATGAAAAAATGTAGGAGACAATAACTAGCTCTACAAAACCTATATTACACAATTATAATGCGATGGTATACTATAGATACAGCAGGGCCATCTTGTAACCCGCTTCCGGGTGTGTTTTGTTAATTTGTCGGGTTGGGGAGCTACGTGTTCCTGATAGCCTATCCGAGCTGGGTTACTCCAGGGGTCAATTTTGGTCGAGCTTCCTAATGCTGTATCCTAATGTCGTTTTCCTGGCTCAGGCGGGAATGTTGTGCCTCTTGGCTTTATTCGTGCCTCATCATCGCCAGGAAACGAGGGAATAAAAGGTGGGGGGGGGGCGAGAATTTGTTTCGGAGTTATTGCTCCTCGCGAGACTGTTCCCAACCTCCTCGGTGGAGTGTTATTTATTTAACTTATTACCATACATCCGTGGTCCCCACCCTGGGACCGCCACTGGTCGACCAGTTGGTGTGAACAGAGTTGATAAGTAGCATGAGTATCGATTTCAAAATTCTTTTCCCAGCTGACGTGAGCTAGGCGATGACCGGTAGGACAGACTTCCGAGAAATGGCTATAACCTATAAGCCACTCACCCTATCGGTAATCATCCAATGAGAAGGTCTAATGAAGAAGATGGAGGGATGACGAGTCTTGGAGTTGGAGGACCTGGGAAAAAAATCGAGGAGATTACTGCGGGCTGCAACGAAGATCGGAGTGTGTGTGTCTGTGGGTGCATGTGCTTCAAGGGACCATTTGGCAGTATGTAATAATATAACTAAACTAGGTGGCGTTTGCAGAGGCATCCACAAAATTGAGCGGAGTCATCAAGGGTTCATATTATATCGTTTTTGTAATACTGCAGTAAAAACAGTCATTTTTAATGCATGCATTGCGGGTCTAAAGTAGCATTTTTACTCTTTGGGGAGTAAAAATCGTTTTTAGCCTCTATGGAGTAAAAATCAGCTGTTGTCAACTTAGTTGTAAATTTCAATTGTAAACGATTGCATGTATCAAAATATGTATTGATTCGTGCTTCGTAATCATTTTAACCTACAGTCTACAGCCTCTTCCCATAGAATTTTAGCATTGCAGATACATTAATCCATTCCCACACTCAACACTGCTCACCTTTACTACTTCCTTAACCACCACCTACATTGTGGATCTGTTTCCCTTTCTTCCCATAGCATTTTAGGATTGCAGATACATCAATGTAATTGCCAAAGACAGTTCCCACACTCTGCACTGCAAGCCTTACTACTTCCTTCACCATTTCCCACGTCATATACCTGTTTCCTCCCCTTCTCATAGCATTTAAGTATTAGATACATTTATCTAACTGCCCAAACGGTTCCCGCACTCTGCACTGCTATCCTTTACTACTTTCTTCACAACTTCCTACGTCGTGGGGCCTGTTTTCATCACTATCCATAGCATTTTAGTATTTTAGATACGTTAATCTAATTGCCACAAACATTAGCCTTACTCCGCACTGCTAGCCTTTACTACTTCTTTCACCATTTTCTATGTCGTGGGCATGCTTCCATCCCTTCTCATAGCATTTCAGCATTGCAGATACATTAATCTAACTGCTACAAACGGTTTCCAGTTCCCACACTCCACACTGCTCACTTTACTACTTCCTTCACCTCTTCTTACGTCGCGGACCTGTTTCCCACCCTTCCCTTAACATTATTGGGTTATAAATACCTTAATCTATTGGTCATAAACAGATCCCACACTCCGAACAACTAGCATTTACTACTTCCTTCACCACTTCCTACGTCACGGACCTTTTTCCCGCCCTTTCCATAGCATTTTAGGATTGCAGATCCCTAAATCTAATCGTCATAAACAGTTCCCACACTCCGAACAACTTGCCTTTACTACTTCCTATGTCATGGACCTCAAGCTAGTGTCGTCATTTGATTATATTTATGATCCATACCGTTTCTGTTCTAATATCTGTGGAATAGTGCTATCAGCTATTTCTTTATCTACTGCATTCAAAAGTCAACAGCTGATCATATGTCTCTGTTTATGTGTCAAATACTGCCTCGATTAGGATTACATTGAAACTTTGAGACCCAGTGGGGTGTATTACTGAGAAACTTTTTTAACGTCATATAGATGTTGGCACTCAACGATATGGTCTTTATCACCATGCAAAATTTGAAAACGATTGATTCAGCCGTCTAGGAGGAGTTTGCGTATTACGAAATGCATAAGAGTCGACGTATTAGAGCTTTGCTCGCTCCGCTCAATAATTTATAAAGATGTAAAACAACCAATTCATATATATGGTAATTTGTAATCAACTCAATCTTTTAATTTTCTACATTTTTTGTAACTTAACCCTGTAAATTTTTCTTAACTATTGTAGCACTTTGTTTTTTTAAGTGTTTATTTGGTAGGTGTTGCTATCCTTTGTCACTTCTTTTGTTTTATTCTCGTTGTTTTATATATTTTATTCTCGGTCAATACGCAGAGAAGGGAAAAATAATTTTCTTTTATGTTAGTAGTTTTGTATGAAATCAATAAATTTGCCAAATTTGATAAAAATGTCTATAAACAAGCAAAATACAACAGTTAACTTTTCCTCCATAATAATACATGGGAGTTTTTGTTCTTACTTAGTTACTTACCTGTACTAGCTTTTGTTTGCCAAAGTTTAAATTGGCCTTATTGCATTGTTCATTTTAGAGATTACCATGCAAGTACCGTAGTAGTTTTTAAAATCCAACTCATAGACTAATTAAAAGAAGAAGTAGTGTTATAGAGTCATATTAGTTTCTGTTATGTTCCAATACTATTTTAATTATTGTTTAGTTGAAAAACTGCCTAATTCATTCTTCCCTAGATTAGTTCAATACCTGCTGTTAAAAAAAATTGTTAAGAGAATTGTCAAGAGACCAATGTTTAACAAGATTATCTTTCTTATCTCAACTCAGTTGTGTATTTAGTAAAGCATACATTCATTCAACAGTTCACTTCAGCCAGTGAAAATGTTTTTATCATTAATAATTCTTTTTATCTTTACTTTTGACTGTACTATTATATGTTTGGAAAGAGGTTCTGGCAAAGTAAGGTAATTTTGTAAACGATTTAGATATTAATAGTGGGTTTCAAAGAAATATTAGAATAACTGCTGAATCAATTTTGAGGTTTAGTTTATTACTAACAAAAATACAGATATTCCAATTTCTTCAGAGTGTAAGTTTGGACTTAGGACTATGCACACTGTTGAGTCGTGGAAAGACAGCAAACATTAACTACCGTTTATGACCAGACTTGAAAATTGAATAATTTTGTACTTTACTCCACGAACAGTCAGGTGGGTAAGAATAGCACGCAACAAGCTCTGTAGGTAGGCCTAACCCTTGCGATCAGCTCTGACTGAATTTGTAGTATCTAGAAGAACTTAACACACAAGCGGAATTAGTAAACAAAGTAGAAATAATAAATACGACAATTTTGGAAACGTAAATGTGTTCCCAGTGGTATTATTGACTTTCATATAGATGTATATGTTAATTTTGGTTTAAATAAAACTGATGATAAATCATTATAATGAATTTTCACTTTAAGCCAAGCTTTAAATACAGGTTTCAGTAACAACTGTGTCTGTCTAAGTTAAGAATCTCTTTCAAAGTAATGATTGTCTTATGTTGAAGATAAAAAAAACCATGTTGAAAGTTTTTAATGTTTAATCTCTTCCTGTTACCAGACCAACAGGTTTGTTTTGAAAAGGTCTAGATCGCAACAGAAATTTCACCTGAGATTCTATATTTTTTCATTCCTGTACATAAAGGTTTTGAACTGTATGGTTTGTCAAATTGTGCTGGTATTTTTCATTTAAATCTGGGTATTTTATCTTTTAACATCTTACACTTGAAAATGAGAATAAGATGATCAGGGAAAAGGAGTTATATTTATCATTAACAGATAAAGCAATTAACTACATTATATATGAAAAGAAAGCCCATGAGCTAAAGCACAACTCAATTAGACCACTTTTAAACTTTTTAAGATAGGCCCACAAAATATATATTTTTCACTAGTTTAGGCCTATATTTCGTTTGGGGATAGAAACTGTAAGCCTGTAGGATTAGGGTAAAAAATGTTATCAATCTCTGTTTTTCATCTTAAGTTATCGTTTCAGTGAAATGGAAGAAGGAGTTGTCTTGTTTGACTTCACCAAACTGGACAACCTCCACGGCTGGTCGGAGATGTCCGATGTTGTCAGAGAAGTGGGGATGTCCAAGGCGGTGTTGGTGCTACAGAAGACCCAGCGTTTCCAGAGAGGAGTGTTTTTCACCATGTTGAACCCCCAGCCTAATGGAGCAGGGTTTGCTGGTTTTCGAACAGACACAGAATTCAACCTGACAAATTACAACTCCATCCAGCTCTACTGTCGGGGTCAAGGAGAGAACTATGGATACAAAGTCGTTCTTCGGCACAAAAATCAAAATACCGAACCGTTTCCCTCATACGAACAAATGTTTCAGGTAATGCCTTGCTTAAGTGATTAGGAAGAAATTAGTAGTAGTTCCAACAAGCTTAAAAACCTAACTAAGGATGGTGGTAGGGATAAAAAATGGTCAACAATAAAAAACCTCATTCAGGTGACCTAAAATGCCATCAAGAGTATTCTGTCTTTTAATTATTTATTTAGTTGATCTATTTAAGTACCAAAACTTTCAAAAAGGTTTTACTCAATTTAAAATTTATGAGCTTCGAAAGCTTGCAGGAAGTAATGCAAAATAATATAAATAATATTAAAATTCATGCAGTGGCATAAAGCTTTGGGATAAAAAAACTAAAATAACTAGAAATCTCAAAATAATGAAAAATCCCCTTACTTTTTTAAATGAAGAAATCAAGTAATAAGACTAGAGTTTCAAAGGTACTTTTTTGTATATTTACAAAAGTTGCTAATAATCAGTTAAGTAGGTCAAAAATTCGTTGACAGCCCTGACTTTGAACGTTAACCATTATAGTCCAGCCACAGAGCATAGAATAAATATAGAGGCGGCACTTGCCGTCTGGAGTGAAGCAGGCTTCTCGTACCAAGATGGCGGCCGGCCCGGTCTGCATTTACATTTAAACCACTATATTGTTATCATGGAAACCACCAATCAATATTTGCTTTTTAAACTCTCACCTCAGAACTTTGAAAGCCCGCAGGGGGCAGAGTCCTAGGTCAATATCGAAGGGGGGATAGTATCCAGGGCCGTCCGAAGGGGGGGGGGGGCAACCTGCCCCGGGCGCCGTGGCAGAGGGGGCGCCACGAAGTGGCTATTATTGTATTAAAATATGCAAATGCAACTATTACTGGGGGGGGAGGGGGCGCCACGACCACGTTTGCTCCGGGCGCTGCCAACCCTAGGGACGGCCCTGTATGTATCCTCGGAGCGGTAGCTTCGTATAATTCATAAAGTAGCATAAAATAACACAGTGGTAATGACGCCGTGTTTTCAAAGTTCCGAGCCCGACTCTCTTACCAAGATGGTGGAAATCGGCTTCACTACTGGTATAGCTGTAGGTATAGGAGTGGCGACTCTATATTTATTCTATGCTCTGTGAGTCCAGCTAGGTACTGATCCATAGCTAAAGCCTTGTATTATTGGACATTATTGAATAATTAATATAAAGCCTAATACAAGAATTGCATTAATCTGTTTTTTTTTTCAGGCCCCAAACAGAAAATTTGAAATAGTTGAGCTTCCTCTCGCTGGTTTTGAACCTTATTACCGAGGAAAGAAGCAGAATCAATCAGAGCCTTTAGACAAGAGTCAAATTTCAAATTTTGAGCTCCAAATTTATGGAGGTGTTTATCTGCCTGTCAAACAAGCTGGGACATCTTCATTGGAGATTGACTGGGTCAGAGCAGTTTGATCTTTACAGAGCAAAAATCAAACATTGTAATTACTGTAGTTACCATTCCATGTATATACAATTAATTACTATACAATTATATTAGTACCATTCATACCGTTTCAATCTTGTTCTATTACTTAAAAAATACCCTGATTTGCTTGAGGATGTTTTCAGAAAATATTTTCTTATTATTTTCTACAAACTTAATCCCTGTGTTTGGTAAGTTGGTTAAGTTTATTTTTTTTTGTTTTTTTTAATTTGTTTAGGGTAAGCTGTGTATCAACACACAACACTTTATTTCCCCCCTGTATTTTCATTGGGATTTTGAAACAGTTATTGAGACTATGTAGATGTATAGACACAGTACAGTATTATGTTATTAGAGTCATTTAGTGCATTAGGTAGAGATACCAACTTGGATAGTCTCTGATTTGATAAAAATTTACTCTCTGTAACTCAAAACTCAATAGCTCTTTTTTATCTTAATTTATTTTCAATCCTCTTTAAAACCCTTGCTTTCTATGAACCCAACTTGCAAAACTCAAAAGAATTTTGGAACACCTAAGTCCAAAAGATGCAAAAATAAGCTATATAACTTCATTGAATAGATAAGTAAATTTAAATTTGCACTTCATCTTCACAGGTCCCCTTTATATCTTGAAGTTTTCTCTGAGGACGTATTTAATTCCAAACCCCAGCAGATTGTAAATGAGTCAGTGAATCATGTCCAATCCTGCTTCTGTTCACTGTCACTGGTTACTTTCACACCAAGCTGTGCTCAAATATTTTTTAAGTGATGATAAATGTTAAAAGACAAGTGAAGGTTGGGAACTGAAGGCCAGTGGTTATTGTGCTTGACTGACAGTTAAAGGGTCACCCCTGGTTCAATTTGGAGAAAAGTCAGTTTTGGTGGTTTAATACTGTGCCCTAGCTGTCAATGGTCCCAATTTGAATATAATATCCCTGTCTGAAGAAACAGCTTATTTTAGCCAGTAGTAAAGCTTCATCAAGCCCATCCAAATGCTGTAAGCTGTCAACAATTTTGCATAAAAAAAGATAGTTGTGTAAGCCATGGTCACAGAATGCGCTAGTGTCTAAAATTCTATTTTCTACCTTAGTTTTTGTTGCTGACATAGGTGATGGGTCATAAAAGTTGTTGAGCTCACAATAAAGTTTGTCTATTCGACAGAAATTAGTAAATTAGATCAGCACAATCTGTCGGTGGCTCACATCAACTACAACAATTATGATAAAAAATCTGGCGACAAATTTAATATGGGAATGGAATGTCTATATCTATTAGAAGTTAGAGGCAATACACACCACACACCTTTGAAAAACCTACAGCAGATGAAAGAATTTATGTCCCCGATGTGAGTAAAAAGTGGTAAAAGTCTTCTTTGTGCAAGCACTCAGAATTATAAATGTTCTACATTTAATCTACCCTGAAAGTTCTAAAATGAGGCTTTAATAATCCTCATCCTGAAGAGGGAGCCATACTTTGTTGATAGCAAGACTTTAAGCTTTTAATAAAATTAACAATATGAAAATTAGAAAAGTTTGAATTTCTCGTTAAAATCTTATGTATTTCTAAATAAAATCAGTCAAGAAGCAGAAACTATGAAGTGCAAAATTTTATGATTCCAAAAACAACACTTGCTTTTATGATACTTTATACTTTATACTTTCTTTTCAATGAAATGGCGACCATACATAGTAGGTATTATAAGCCAAGAATGAATGGAGATGAGTGGTGCGATCTTGTAGTCTTGTTAGTTCGTCACAGCAGTTCAGCAACCAAAGTAGACTACATAGAGGTACAAGAAGGGCCGTGTCGTAGTCTGAAACCCGAGAGAGGGTATGAGACAGTGTTGGGAGACGTAGCGTAGTCGCAGGCAGGTCGTCGACGAAGAAGGACTCAGCATCAAATAACGTATGAGTCCTGGGTGGTTATTCTATATATAAATACGACCGCCGCAGCAAACCTGCAGACTAAGCGAATTTCCATTTGCCTGATTGGATTTACACTAAAATATCTCCTTGAAAATACCACATTTATTCTCTATTTAATAGAATTCGTTATTAAAGAGTACTTAGGTTTGCTGCAACAGGGAGGGTAAAAAAGTTTCTTTTGTAAAATGTTAATAGTTTAGTAAGAAATAAATGCATCTTCCAAATGTGATCAAAATATGTTCATAAACAAATAAACTACCACAGTTTGTTTATTCTTCATTAGAATAACATGGGCATTTTAAATTTAACATTTCTCAAAATTTTCTCCATTAGGCGCATAATAACACTTCTATATACTAAATTATTTGTTTTTTAAGCTCTACAAAAAGGTTTGGATTGATATTGCTAAATTGTATGTTTTTTGAGTCAAAAATAGGAAAAACCAATGTTTTAGCTCCTAAACCCCTGTTCCCATAGTCCAATCATGCTGGTTCGCGAACTTGTTAGAATAAATGTAGATTTACACATTTATACCAAATTTAATTAAAATCGGATCATTTTTGCTCGAGTTACCGTGCTAACAGACACATACCTATATATATGAATTTGAACGGATGGTATTTTTGACCTCTCAGGACCACAAAAGGAAAAAGTAATCGATCCCGGGTCCGGGTCTTACCATTAGACCTACGGTAATAGCTTATTATTCTCTATATGGGAAATTCACTAAAAAAGATTGGTTTTTCTTTTCGAAGTCTGTTTGGCTCCTCTACCCGACCGATTTTCATTATTATGGTCTTAAATTAAAGAAATGTATGCTTGCACAGATTTGCCATCAAGCATCATTATTCTTACTGCATTTTTCTATTAAAAAAACAAATTTGAATTTTTTTCAAATTCTTACTTCAACTAAAGATGTATTTCACCAGCTATAATTACATTATCCTACGTATTTTTTAAAATTGTTTGAGGAATTAACCTAAATTGGTAGGTAAACTAGTTTTTCTTATAGTAATTTAGTAATAATTATAAACAAACTTGATAACAAGCACCGCACTAATATAAAAAAAAACATGTTTTCACTCTTTGTGATTAAAAAATTCATAATAATCAAGTCATAGTGTTTAAATACACAAGTAAACAAAGTTAATTGAATCTTGTTTTCAAACATTTAATTATCATTAATGAAGATTCATAATGTAATTATTGGGGAAACAATCTTTCCTTTGAAAGAGTTAATGTTAGCATGAGCAATATTGTAATTATTTTTCTTTTGATCATTTTATGTTGGTTCATCCCCACCTCCATGTCTTGCACACAGTGATAAAAAAAACAAATAAAAAATACACCACTATTACTATATTAGTTGTACTATGAACTTCCTATTTACTCTCAAGTCTAATAAACAACAAACTAATATTATTAATTCAGCCAATCATCCAATGCAAATCTAATGGAAATTATAAGTTACAACTTGTACTTTATTATGAAAAGGATTCCTGGAAATCACATAAAATTACAGACATTCATTTCTTAGTACTATTTAACTCCAAAATACTTGATAATTCTAGAGTAGCATCTATCATCAATTCAGGACCAACTGCGCACGACTTGAATTAATTTTTACAATTCCTCAGTGTTTCAAAAGAACAATCTTGAAAGTGGGAGATAATACCTTCCTTGACGACAGTTTGAATCCTCCTCACCATTTTGATAGTGCATTTCCATATTTTAGCTGTTTTAACTCAGTCCCACAGAATAAAATAGTTGTATATCGTGAAAATGTGTCATCAATATGTGAGTATTTTCGGTACTTTCCTGTTAAAAGGAACATTCATTATTATCGATGATTTTCAATCGATATATCGATATTAACGAATTGAAACCTATCAGCTGACAACTACGATTAATAAATATTGTTCAGTATAAAAAAAAATATTGAAATGAAACCGTTCCAAACCAACCTAACAAAACTAACCAAACTTGGTGTAACATTTAAAAATTCTGTTTAATATTCCCACCATGCCTTTTCTGTAATCAAACGGAATTTTAAAAATAGTACAGCAAGTTTGGTTGGTTATGTTAGGTTAGCTTAGAACAGTTTTAATCCATAATAGACTTGATTTTAGCCTAATCAAGATAGTTGTCAATTTGTAATGGATCGTAAAGGAAAAGAAAAATATCGATATATCGATTGAAAATCATCGATAATAATGAATGTTCCCTTTAACAGGAAAGTACCGTATTTTCTTTCTACTGCAGCTACGTAGTACAGTGGTTACTCAATAGTATTTTAAATTCATGTATTTTTTTTAAGAATAATTAATTATTAAATATGGTATCATAGTGAGTTATATTATTAATAAGTGTTTTATCCTGATATAGTGCAGGTTATATTCTTACTTAGCGTAGGCCTATGTGCCTGTCAGTCAATATATTATATTTAAAAATGGTAGTTTGGTGATCGCTTGGTTAAAGGTCTTTTACCAAATACAAATTTATAGGCATACAGCAGATCAAAATGAAAGCAAGTGTAGATTTGCCAAAAAATATTGGTACCTATACTTGATGAGAGTTTCCACACCTATAAAACACACAGACTTGTAATGAAAATTATTTTAGTTAAGTACTCATTTGGTGTGATAGACTAGGCATGCAAATACATTCAGCCAGGCTCACAAGAAAGCTTTTAACAAAGTCAATCTGTTAAGTCAAGATTTCTTAAGTCAGATGATGAAAGGATTACAACAGTTTTACTTTGGAACAGATATTTACAATTCTATACTAGACAGTTAGATTTTAAGACTGCAAAGGAGTTAAATCTTAAATACTTGAAATGCATAATAAAAACTAAAATAATATGTTTATTTGATTTTGAAAAATATAATTTTGATATTTAACTAGAGGAATGTTAATGACATGACTTCAATTCACTTTTGAAATATGACAAATATATCAATTAGTACTTATCAATTATTAATCATGGAGATGGGGACACCACCTAGGTGCGTATTTAACTCAAATATATGATAACCCTGTAGTATATGAGGACGAGTGTAGAATGGTACAAGATTACCTAAATAGCTTATTTTTTACTGACTAAGATCAGCTGTTTCATTAGCCAGGATCATTTATTTAACATGTTCCCTACCAACCCTTACACTCCTCTGTAACTGTAATATGTTTCATATTGACTCATTGATTAGTGTTCTTTAATATGTTTAATTTATGCCTGCCTTCTTTATTTTAATTGAACTAACACATGTTTAATTATTATTATGATTGTAAATAATGTCCAACAAATATACACATCTATTTTTTGTCAAGTCTAAAAGTCTTGTCTGTATTTAATATTTTTTTACATTTGGTTGACTGCCACACACTGAAGCAGACTCAAGCTCAGCTCTCGCTGTCAGCAGTTGCTTCTGTCGTTCTAGTTCTCTAGCTTCCATTCGTCGTTGTCGCTCCATTTCTTCAACTTGTCGTTGTCGTTGTCGCTCCATTTCTTCAACTTGTCGTTGTCGCTCCATTTTTACATTTTTGGAGCTGGTGACGTTGAAAGCAGAAGAAACATAGTTTCTTTTCGACAATCATTTTCCATCTCTGCGATACATCTGCCTTCCTGAAAACTCCACATCGTTCACTTTCGTGGCTGTCGAGACAAAACATACAGTTCGAAGAGCTTCAGACTTTCATGGTTCGCGTTGAATTTATAATAAATTCTCGCCCACTCACTCATGTTTCTCTGGATCCCAATGACCCCGAACCAATCACACCAAACCATTTTCTAAGAGAAGCTTACAAAATCAACCTAAACGAAGACCAACTGTGTAAACGACAATTAGCTCGTGTTAAATCACTCCTAGACGGCTTCTGGAAGAGATGGGTGCACGAGTACCTTCCATGCCTTTCAAGACGGTGCAAATGGCACAAGAAATTGGACCCACCAAAGATTGACGATCTTGCAATAATAATTGAGGAAAACTGCCCAAAAAATACTTGGCCCCTTGGCCGAATCTCGGCTGTCTACCCAGGTCATGATGGCCAAGTACGAATAGTAGACATAACAACATCAAAAGGAACTTATCGCCGGCCTCTGACTAAAGTTGCAGTCCTTACCGTTGGAGGGGAAAACATGTAATATGTTTCATATTGACTCATTGATTAGTGTTCTTTAATATGTTTAATTTATGCCTGCCTTCTTTATTTTAATTGAACTAACACATGTTTAATTATTATTATGATTGTAAATAATGTCCAACAAATATACACATCTATTTTTTGTCAAGTCTAAAAGTCTTGTCTGTCTTTAATATTTTTTACATTTGGTGCCGAAACCCGACTTTATCATGTCAATAAGGAGATCAGAGAGGGAAAGACACCCTCCAGACAGATATACTCCAGCAATTGGGAATAACAACGACAAAACTGTTAATCCAAAGCCAAGTAATGACCAACCATCAGTATCTGCCAAATCTAGTACTTCTTCTAGTAGACGACGATTAATGGAAGTGGAGTTGAAGAAGCTGGAAGAAATACAGAAATTGGAAAGAGCCCATGAGGAAAGAGAAATGGAGCGACAACGACAAGTTGAAGAAATGGAGCGACAACGACAAATGGAAGCTAGAGAACTAGAACGACAGAAGCAACTGCTGACAGCGAGAGCTGAGCTTGAGTCTGCTTCAGTGTGTGGCAGTCAACAGTCAAGCCGCCCTAGTAATCGATCTGAAACCAAGGTAGGACTTAGCATAAATCTTGATGATGAGGAAGAACCGCAAAGCAAGGTTGAAAGGTGGTTGAATGAAAAAGAACCGACAGTTCTTAAGTCCTCATCAGCCATCATGACCTCAGCCGTGCAAAAGCTTGCGGATACCTTCCAAAAAGCTATACAGCCTGTTTCATTTCGTCAAAAACTTCCAAGCTTCAGTGGCAAGCCTGATGAATGGCCGATATTTTTTTCGGCGTATGAAAAAACTGCCTATCTTTTTAGTGAGGATGACAACCTCATAAGAGTAAGGAATTGCCTAGAGGGAGAAGCATTTAGAATGGTTAAGCCTCTTTTTGTCTCAAGTCAAAATCTTAAGTCAATTATCAAGACCTTACAGATGCGTTTTGGTAGACCAGAACTCATTTTGGAGTCAATGTTAAAAAAGACTCGTAGGCTACCTTCTGTCAAGGAAGACGACACTACAAGTCTTGTTGAGTTTTCGACAAATATTTTGAATTTTACTGCTACAGCAGAGTCATTACATCTAGAAAATTATGTATTAAATCCTTACTTACTAAATGAATGTCTCAACAAACTTCCCTATAGTTTAAAATACAGGTGGGCTGAACATGTAAGTAATAATGCTCTAAGCAGTCCCGACTTGAAGGAGTTTTCCACTTGGTTGGAAAAACAATGCTCAATCCTGAGTATTTACTTTCGTCCTACAGAAGAGAAACTCTGGCAGAAGAAAACTGACATAAAGCCGGTTTATACCAGTTCTACCGAAGACAAACAGTTTAACTGTATGTTTTGTCTCGACAGCCACGAAAGTGAACGATGTGGAGTTTTCAGGAAGGCAGATGTATCGCAGAGATGGAAAATGATTGTCGAAAAGAAACTATGTTTCTTCTGCTTTCGACGTCACCAGCTTCAAAAATGTAAAGTAAAAAAGGTTTGTGGGATAAATGGGTGCAGGTTGTTTCACCATCGTCTCCTCCATACTGACAAAATTGAGAGATTTCCCAAACAGGACAGCGAACCGCAAAATAAAGAAATTATTAGCAGTCATGTTGTTAATAACCGTGTTCTACTAAGAGTATGTCCAGTGACATTATATGGCCCAAGTTGTCAGATCGACACTTACGCACTCTTAGATGACGGGTCAACAGTATCTTTGTTGGATTCAGCTACAGCCGATAAATTAGGCGTCAACGGTAGTATTGAACCCCTCACGACATGCTGGTCCAATGCAACCCAACATTTCGACCCAACATCCATGACTGTGAAAGTTAAAATTAAAGGGTTATATGAGGACGAAGTATTTACATTAAACAATGTACGAACCCAGTCACCATTGGACTTGCCAAAACAAATGGTGGATACTGTCAAACTGAAAAAGAAGTGGTCTCACTTACGGTCAATTGTTCAACCTTTACCGTCAGCAAATTTGAAACCTACAATACTTATAGGTCAAGACAACTGTGACCTTATTCTAGCAAGGAAAATAATTGAAGGTCCTCCCAACTCTCCAGTCTTGTCTTGGAGCCGTTTAGGCTGGACATTGCACGGTAAATGTCATGAACACATTGGGCGAGTAGATAGTCAATTCACTTTAACGTCTTTTGAAAGTGAAAAACTTCATGATATCAAAGATTCTTTTGAAATCGAGAATTATGGCGTGTCCCTAGTAGAAGATGACAATGTGAAATCAGTTGAAGACGAAAAAGCCCTCAAGATTTTAGAAGATACGACCAAAAAAGTAGGGGATAGGTATGAATCCGGCCTACTATGGAAGTCAGAAGACTTTAAATATCCACCGAGCTATGAAAATGCGCTGAAAAGGCTTAAGGGTATTGAAAGGAAGATGGCAAGAGACGAAAACTTTCATAACAAATACAAAGCCAAGATCACTGATTATGAAGAAAAAGGTTACATCAGAAAACTACGTGATGACGAAGCTAATGTTATAAATGACCGGACTTATTATCTGCCTCATTTTGGGGTAATAAATCCAAACAAACCTGACAAACTGAGGTTAGTATTTGACGCAGCTGCTAAAGCGAATGGTGTGTCATTCAATGATGGTTTGCTTAGTGGTCCTGACCTTTTGAACCCTCTGCCAGCAGTACTTCTCAAATTCAGATTAAGAAAATTTGCGATCGCAGGTGACATACAAGAAATGTTTCATCAAGTACGTATCAGAAAAGAAGATGTCGATTCGCAAAGGTTTCTATGGAGAGAAGATCCGAACAACAAACCAGATACCTATATCATGGAAGCAATGATATTGGATCAACGTGTTCCCCGAGTACTGCCTTGTATGTAGTAAACAGCAACGCCAAGAGGTTTCTACAAATTTACCCAGAAGCAAGTAAAGCGATCCTCTGCAGTGAATACATGGACGATCTACTAGACTCTACTGATACAGAAGAAGAAGCTAGAATTAGAATACAACAGATAACAGAAATTCACAAGTCCGGAGGTTTTAAAATCTGTAACTGGTTGTCAAATTCAAAAGAAATTTTACTTGAAATACCGGAAGATTTGAAGACAAACTCTACAAAACTACTGCAACCTGAAAGTCGTCTACCTACAGAACGTATCCTCGGAATGTGGTGGGATGCTGAAACTGACCACTTTTCATTTCACCGGAACGCCGAAAAGGTACAGTTAGTTGAAACAAGGTATCCGACCAAACGAGAAGTTTTAAGAGGAGCTATGTCCATTTTTGATCCATTGGGATTAGTTGTACCTACTACTATAAAAGGGAGAATGCTTGTTCAGGACATTTGGCGAACAAACATAACGTGGGACGAAGTTCTTTCGATAGAACTTAGTAAAAAATGGCAAGACTGGTTACAAGAAGTAAAATGTCTGCAGAGCTTCACCATACCTCGATGCTATTTTAACGTCAAAACAATTGAAGAAGTTGAACTCCATACGTTTGTTGATGCTAGTGAAGAGGCCTATGTAGCAGTTTCATATCTACGCCATGGATGTGCCAGAGGTACTTACAAGACCATGCTTGTTATGGCACGTGCCAAAGTAGCACCACTCAAACAAACAACCATTCCCCGACTAGAACTCCAAGCTGCTGTTCTTGGATGCAGAATAGCTTGTAGCATCATAAAAGACATTGACTTAACTATTTCTCGTCCGATATTTTGGTCAGATTCTGTAACAGTTTTGCACTGGCTGAAATCCGACCCTAGACAATTCAAACAGTATGTTTCCAATAGAATTGGAGAAATTCAAGATTTGTCTAAACCTGAAGAATGGAGATGGGTTCCATCAAAACAGAATCCGGCAGATGTTGCAACTAGAAGTAACAAAAAGTTTACATCAGCCATGCATTCTGAAGGGATTCACGGACCCTCATTTCTAATGCGAGAATCTAGTGACTGGCCAATACAACCGTCCACACTACAAGTCAAGGAAAATGAAGAAAGAAATTCGTTGGAGTTGTGAACAGTGATGAAACCCCTCCTCTTCTGACAGTTGAAAACTTTTCTTCTTGGGAAAAAGTGACACGTGTATTAGCATGGGTACACAGATTTGTTAGCATACTAAGGTCCCATACTACCACCACCACCAAAAAGAAACTGAAAACGGTCAACGTAGATTTTGGAAATATACCAGAACTTCAACCAGAGGAAATTCAAAAAGCTGAACAGAACTTGATATCAATGTCTCAAAAGGCAAGCTTCAATGAAGAAAAGAATTTACTGCTGAAGAACAAACCGCTACCAAAGTCCAGTAGAATATTCTCTTTAAATCCCTTCATTGATCAGTCTCTAATAAGAATGTCGAGTAGAATACATAGTTCACCAGAAATAAGCGAAGAACAAAAGCATCCTATCATTTTAGACGGCAAAAGTCATACGGCTAAACTAATCGTAAAAATGTTTCACGAGAAATGTTTCCATCAGGGCATCGAGACTGTTATCAATATGACTAGACAACAGTTCTGGATCTTAAACGTACGATCAGTCGCCAAGAAAGTTCAAAGGAGCTGCATGAGGTGTAGCATAGACAATGCCAAACCTTATCCTCCTCAGATGGCTGCACTACCACAGTTAAGGACCTCAAAAGTGCAACATCCATTCTTCTACACTGGAGTGGATTATTTCGGACCTATCGAAGTTACTGTTGGCCGCAGACATGAAAAAAGATATGGTGTCCTATTTACCTGTTTATCCACTCGAGCAATTCACATCGAAACGGCTCATTCTCTTAACACAGAGAGTTGTATAATGGCGATTCAACGATTCATCAGCCGAAGACCAGTTCCCTCAGAACTATATTCCGACAATGGCACAAACTTTGTAGCTGCAGATAGGGAACTTAGAAACGCTGTAAAGTCACTCAAACATGAAAAGATCCAAAAAGACGTGGTGAACTACGGGATAAAGTGGAATTTCATTTGCCCGCGAGCACCACATATGGGAGGCTGCTGGGAAAGACTTGTTAGGTCTGTAAAGACCGCATTAAGGAGTGTTATGCGCTGCCAGTACCCAAAAGACGAAGAGCTTCAGACTTTCATGGTTCGCGTTGAATTTATAATAAATTCTCGCCCACTCACTCATGTTTCTCTGGATCCCAATGACCCCGAACCAATCACACCAAACCATTTTCTAAGAGAAGCTTACAAAATCAACCTAAACGAAGACCAACTGTGTAAACGACAATTAGCTCGTGTTAAATCACTCCTAGACGGCTTCTGGAAGAGATGGGTGCACGAGTACCTTCCATGCCTTTCAAGACGGTGCAAATGGCACAAGAAATTGGACCCACCAAAGATTGACGATCTTGCAATAATAATTGAGGAAAACTGCCCAAAAAATACTTGGCCCCTTGGCCGAATCTCGGCTGTCTACCCAGGTCATGATGGCCAAGTACGAATAGTAGACATAACAACATCAAAAGGAACTTATCGCCGGCCTCTGACTAAAGTTGCAGTCCTTACCGTTGGAGGGGAAAACATGTAATATGTTTCATATTGACTCATTGATTAGTGTTCTTTAATATGTTTAATTTATGCCTGCCTTCTTTATTTTAATTGAACTAACACATGTTTAATTATTATTATGATTGTAAATAATGTCCAACAAATATACACATCTATTTTTTGTCAAGTCTAAAAGTCTTGTCTGTCTTTAATATTTTTTTACAGTAACTGAGGGATGAGTATAGTAGCTAATGTGTAAAAGCCCAATGATCAGGAACCGCTGGAGCTGGGTCCAGTTTTGAACCATTAGTGCTTTAAAAACTATAAATATTTTATAGTTCTATAGTTTATAGTAGACTCTGACCCCTATCCTTAAGCACACGGGTCACACTGGGCCGACATCAGCCGCAAATTAAAAGAAGTTGTTACTATCAGCGTAAAAGCACCGGTCACAGGCACAGGTGGTGATCAGCGGCTGGCAAACAGCACCACCAAGCAGCGGCTGGCAACAGCACCACCAAGCAGCAGGGTCATACTACTCACCATCTCACCTAGTCAGTTCTAGTTGCCATGCCATCCGTGGGACCTCGTAAAAGAGTACTTAAGCGATTATTGAGGATGTGTGTGAAAGAGAATCTTGTAGCAGGCATTCCAGCATCCTTGAGGTTATGCAACAACTCACTGTAAGCTGCTTTCTATGACGTTACCACAGACAATGTATTGTCTGTGCCATGACCTGCTAGTCGCCGCTGCCTTGCTACCAAAAATTTAACATATGTCTGACATCGCGAGCGGTTAGTTAGTGTGGGCTTCTATTTTTATTTTTTATGTTGCCAAAAAGTGTGACCCGTGTTGGATGCTTAATTTAAATAAATACTTTTTTTCATTTTACAGCAAATTTTGCTTCAACTTTATTATATAGAAATGGAATGGCTGGATCCATCCATTGTAAAAGGTTTGAACAAAAGCATGCGGACAATGAATAATTATACGTTTCCATAGAAACAATTTATTTAATTCATTCAATGATACAATTAATTAATAATGCAAGGTGAAATTTACCTCCTGTCAAAAATATTTTTGGGAAGAATACAGATTCTATAAAGTTGAGTGTATTTGCTCCATTCCAGAGGATACAAAGTAAAGCAGTTATGGAAGATGAAACTTCAGTGAAAATTAGGCAGAATTCTTCCGTTCTTGTCCCTATTGTTACATAAGAACTAACAGAAGAGGATCCCTATAGTAAGCAATTAAGTAGCACTCCTCGTGAAAATGGGAGATTATAGTACTACATGGATGTATTGCTTCAGTAAAACAAAAAGGATCCACATTGTTGGGAGGATTGTTAATGCAGAGTAAAATGCACAAGGGTTTGCCATGACAAAACGTTTGAGAAACATTCTGAAATATAGGAGATAAATGCAACTATCGATGAGGAAATTGAATCCTGAGCAACTTCAAAAGGTAGAAACTGAAGAGTTCTACAACAACGCTGTGAGGCGATTGAAGACAAAGTGGATACAGAATACAAGGAGATGTTAGTATAATTAGTATATATCATGTATCTAGTATTAAGTATCTTTTGTACGTAGTGTTTGTATTTTATGTATGTAGTAATAAAGTATCCGTGCGCTTTCCTACTTCAGCGTCCCCTGGGTGGCGGATAGGGGGAAGGTCGGTGGATCTGCCTGTCAGTCCTACCGGCTAGGTCCTATGGACCCGCTGACCAGAAGTAGGTCCTCCATGCATATTGGGGGTTGGGGCGATGGGCGATGGGCTAACCACCCTCCCTTGTAAAACAACCCTGGTTAGGTATCATCTACGGCACACCTAGGACAGAATGGAGAACATTTTACAACGACCTAGACTGCGTCATAAGGACTTAGATTTGACAAGTACCGGTATACACTGCAATAATAAGTACTGGCATAACATAACTACTGGCATACTTGCATACTGGCATAAACAGCATCAGCGATCTGACACATATTTTCTTCCATTAGCTTGTCGACAACCCAGCAGAAATAACACTAGAGATTTCTTTGGGCAGTGAGATATTTCAAGCAAGGTTTGAAACCCAAGACTGGGGGTGTTATAGATCAGCAGGAAAAAGTGGTGTGTGAGAAAAAATCTGTACTCAGCGTATGGGATGAGTATTTCTCAACATTACTAAATGTGCCTGTACAGCACTAAGAAGAGACACTTCTATTGAGATATTAGAGATATTGAGGTATTCCAAAATGTGCAGTCAATAATGATGAACCAACACCAAAAGAACTACCCCCCACCGCAGCGAACATGCAGACTAAGAGAATTTCCATTTGCCTGATTTGATTTTCACTAGACAAGTAGTGTGATCGGGCTGCCAGTCGTTACTTGGTGGTGCTACTACTAGCCTAGTGTAAGTGTGATCCACGCTTTACGCCAATCTATGAGAGTAAGTTAGGTGATTTAAGTGCAGTTAATAATGTCATTATTTATTTATCTTATGGTATTTGCTCTGGCAAATTAAAGACTGGCCTTCATTTCAATTACAAACTGCAAGTTTAAATGAGATATAAATTAACACCTGCATTGGTATCTAGGAGTCATTATCGATATTCTGTAAACCTCAATTGGATCAACCACCCAGAAAGTAAGAAACAGGGTAATTGTAGTGCTTATCTAATGCTAATCTAGCTTGTATGTCTTGAGCCCTCCACACACATATTACCATTTCACTCTAGCTCTCCACAGTTGAATGTTAATTGTGTTCCTATCTGGAAAATTAGTGTGTTTGGTGTACAGGAAGAAGTAAAATATGTGTCTCTTCCCTGCTCCCAGGTTCTGAGAAATATTTTCTTAGAGATGATATGATATAATAAATGTGTTGCAAAAGAGAAATTATTGAAGGAATCTGTAAATATCTTGCCTGCCTCACACTAACCCATGTCGTGAAAGCCAACCTTACGGCATAACCATTGAATGAAACTCATGCATAAAGAAAATATCCTCATCCTACTAAGTTTCCTTAATTTTTCATCTATTAGACTTTTTTATTTTAGATTGAATATTATATTTAGGCCTAAAGTACAGAAACAGGTAAACAGCTTAAAATCAATGCAGTAAAATAATTGAATCAAACCCATCCACAAGTTACTTAATGCAACTTAACCTGACAGGTACCTATAAATCTAACCTTTTGTTTTAAATTAGCTGGGTAAAGCCGACCTGAATAGCTGTTGAATAAATTCTGCAATCAGATTAGCCTGCAGTGCACTTAGGTTGCGTCAATCCTGTTAAAGAAAATGGGTTACCAGCATAGGTATTCTAATTTCAATATTTGTACATGTTAAAATGTAATAGTTGTTTTAACGTAGATTTTTTTTAAACTTACTTAATGCAATAAAATATAGGTACCTACATAACGTTTTTATATATAAATCTAAATGATTAACCGATTAAATGAAAATATTCACTAAATCAATTTACATGCACTATTCAAGTTCAATAGGACGATCATTTTAACGAACATGTCAAACTAAAAGTGTGACATTAAACGTTAATTATTGACTTATTTATAATTACTGTTACTGGTATGTAACTAGGGGACAAGCTATTGTTTATGATTATATCGTTTTATTTTGGTAAAGGAGGCTTTAAAAAACTGAAATAAAAATAATCAATATCTTACTTGACGAAAGAAACAATTAATTACTAAATTACCCAATTTTAATCCCATAAACCTCGTTGCCATAGTCCGATCTTGCTGGTTCGTGAGCTCATTTGAATACATGTACGTGTACACTTTATTGTACCAAATTTCATTAAAATCTAGTGATTTTTATTCGATAAACTTGCTAATGCTAATTAACACACAGACATACAAGGAATTTGAACGGAATGTGTTTTTGGCATTTGGAGACATCAAAACGAGAAAGTAAATCAGTCCCAAGGTCTCGGTCTTACCAATAGACCTATCCCTGAGGAGGTGGTTGTAGCTTATTCCCTGTATGGGGAAATCGCTAAAAATAAAAATAAATATTTGCTGAAATTATAGCTTGAGTTATTAGTCAACTTCGAAATGGAGGATATAAGTTCCTTGAATACACGAACTTTATTCAATCGTAAACCATAACAAGAATTACTACTTTTATGACGTTAACTGAAGTGGGTGATTGAGCTTAGCAGCTTTACGAAGGTGATTAAAAGTGTGTAAAGTAGTCTGCTTTTTCTATTTGAACTCAGCAATAAACTAACTTAATTTTCGAATAAGTGTAATTTTATTATAAGCTTCCATCTGTGAACGGCTAAGAACGCAAAAAGCAACAGCATACTTTAAATTTATATCTATCATGCATTTAAATACATGGAAATATATGAAAAATTTGTAAGATAATGATTTTTTACATTCGCAGTGTTATCTACACAATAAACACAACAATAAAAGCGTAACTGACAATTAATTCCAAAATGATTTGTATACGATACAGTGTTCTTAAACAAATTATACCCCATCAAATAGTATTTCGATATTGATGTATAGTTAATGATATAGTCATAAAACATTCAAATCTTATAAGATGATATAATTCAGTTTGCAGACGCCTGTCTTTATACTTCTCCATCTTTTCCAGAACGACTAGATAATTTGTATTCCGAAAATGCACTGATTGTTATTAGTAACATTTTTAAATTCGGTGTAATGATCTGTCATTAGACCAAACCAAAGGTTACAAATTTAAATACCAATTAGTTGATGGAGCACAAACAGAACAACATCTCGTATAACAAAAAACTGTAAAGGCAACAGAGCAGAAACAAAATATTAGAAGATAAGGAAACAGAAACTTTTACAGCCCAACGGACCGGAAAGCTTTAACGAGGGTTTGGACTGCTTGTTAAAAATATCGTGTATCGTGTTGGTTTCACAATAACATACTGGATAATAACTTACAATAGTTTTTGTAACATGATCAACTTGAATAGGTTAATAAATAGGGGATGGTTAAAAAATAGCAAAATAGCTGTATAAAATAGCAATACTCAATGTTGGTAAAAGCTACAGTTCTATAGTAGTTTACGCAAAGATTGCGTTAACACTATTTAACTTACCTACGACTGTTTTTTTTTTTTAGCCGTTTCAGTTATGTTCTTAGTATTGAAAAGTTTCACATAACAACATTGTTTACTTTCATAACAGCATAGTTTTACTCAAAACAACACGGGTAACAGACCAATGAGTTTCAAGGATTGCAATGATTCGAACTTCAACTAATCAGCTGTTCAGACCTATTTAATTGTTGAGTGGTGCAATTAGTGTTTGGTACAATGTTTCGTTGCATCACTGTCAGTGGCAATGAGAGGCTATAAACGAAAACATAACCTCTCCTAAGTTACCAAGTTACGAGTAGTGATTTTTAGTAATTAAAACACTGTCGTAGGTAAAGTAGTGTACGCAACTCGCGTAAAAGTATTTAAATTAGTCAATAATTACTTCAGAACGTAATAAACATCTATATAAACATTTCGTACTTCCTGCCTCATAAAATTGGTAGTTAAGGCATTTATTTTTTTTTTTAGGTT